TGCGGGAGGTTGAGAGCTCCCGGCTGGCGGGGAAGGAGGCCCAAAGGAATAAAAAGAAAAGTCACCCCGTCATAGGTAAAAGGATTAAAATCTTTATTTGCACGTTTCGCTTCTGAAAGGGTAGGATCTCGCAGTTTAAAAGCCAGCACTTGAAAACAAACTTCAGTAAAACCTGAAAACAGCCAAGTTACCAACTTCACACTCTCCCCGTTAACAGTACACCGTTCGTGTCCAGCTGCCACAGCTAGACGTACAGCCGACGGATTCAGAAAGTTACATTAAGCAGGGGGTGAGATTTAATATTAAATATATACATGCTTTACATGGGCAACTCTGAAAGGCTGACAAGGCCTAGAAAGCCCTTTCCGATTTCCCTCATCTCCGCTGAAAGGCTGCAGTTTGCAGGCGGGTGGTTGCACCACGTGTAAGATGCTGGGAGGCAAACAGGTCCACAGACCCAGCTCCCAGCACGCGACAGTCCTTTCCCCCACTTGAAGCAAGGAGTCCTTACCAGTCGGCATAAAACAAGTCAGGCATCAGGGACCGGTCTGCGAAAGCATAACCACATCAGCTACATCATATTGTGCCTGTCACTGAAAGCTAAGGGAGGGGAAGTTTGCCTTCAACTGTCACAAGTAAGGCCCCCTTACCGAAAAGTGTTTCCTTTTACTCTTTGTGCCCCTCTGTGAAATACCACTCCATTGCATCACAAGTCCACCAGGACCGCTATGTAACCAGTCTGTCTCCTGATGTGTAGTTACAACTGCCTACCACAGTCTCCACCTCCTCACTTCTAGGACCCAGCCATGTACAGCCACTATTACCCCTGTAAAGAGATGCAGGAGGCCAGACTGTTAAGGCCGCAAAAACCATCATCAATAACAGGGCCCAACTAAACAAAGAGGGAAGCGAGCAGAGGAAATGCCATCCTTTCCCTTGTACAGCAAAGCTATTCTTAGTCTAGAAGACGACCAGTTATACAAGAAATTAAACAGGTAAAAGACCGAGGACAACCTTAAATCCCATGATCTGACTCTTGCAAGCTAGTCATTCTTCCCTCAGCCAACATCTCACCATAACTAACGAGGGAACCAAAAACTACAGAGGGAGAACAAATATGGGGCATCGGTCTGTGCAGACCCTCTGCTTTCACAGGGCCATTCAGCAGCCAGAGCTTTTTGGACAACGCAGAAATTCAGTAACCCAAAGTAAAGCTAAATGAGCGACAGCTCTTCCCTCCCACCAGGCGCTTGCTGTTCTGCTTAGAGGAGGTTTCAGACTCTTGCAACTTGGCACTTCCTAAGGGCTGGTCCTTCATGAGGGTCTGGGCAAGGCGAGCTGCTTTAAGTTCCCTGCAGGGGGGAGACGAAAGGAAGAGGAGAGGAAGAAAACCACATCATGCATGAATCCCCAGCAGCTGCAGAAGAAAGCTGTGAACAGTCTTGCTCAAGAGGGTTACTGCAGTACTCCAGCATTGCTGGACTTTTGACCCCAGAGGGTGACATGAAGATTACTGTAGGTTTCACTAGAATTACTACTTCAGAACAGATCAGCTTTGAAGGTTTACCAAAAGAAAACTATGCATCAGGCCAGCAACACACACCAAGACTGGCACCAGTATGAAGAGTCCTTAGCTCAGTTTTTCTCCCGTTGTTTCAGATATTTGTGAATGGTGGAACTTCAATCAGTGTAATCTTGTGCAGCACAAATACCTAATAAAGGCACATGCTGCTTTTCTGTTGCCTTTTTTCCCCCGGATGCTTGCTGTTCTCCCAGAGCATATGCTCTTCTGTCTACATGGAAAACCTATTCCTCAGCTGACTATTCCTCAGTTGACTATTGCACTAGGAGGGGTGGTGGGGCAGTTCCTGGATCCCAGCACCTCAAAACGTTACTACCGATAGCAGTGAGAGGGAGCAAGGAGAAAGAGGATGTCTGCCACCACCTGATATTTCTCTTCCTTCTGTGCTAGGCCACTGTCTCAGTGCAGTATCAATTCCTCATCTACCCACTGGCTGCATATTGCACCAGTATTTTCCATTGCCAGTGGTTGCACTAAGCGTGCAAGTTCACTGCTCTAATTTAGCCAGCTCCTCAAAGCTGGGAGTGAACCACAGCTACTTGGGCACTACAAGTCCCTGCTACAGCCCCATCACCCTCCCCAGCTCTAGGCACAGGAGCTGACTGGGTATTTCTGCACGTTGGGTCTCCCAACACTACCACCCTACATTCAAGCCTGGTGACCAGCACTTGCTGTGCCCATGTCTTCTCCCCTTCATGCCCAAGCCAGCCCTACCTTTCCAGCATGGCAGTCTTGCACTTCTCCACATTTAGCTGCTCCTGGAGCTGCACAGCATTTCCACGTGAAGGACGGAGAACTGGATGTTTAGTAAGAGCTGTGGCAGAAGGTCTTTCCACTGGGTCAGGATGGATCATGAGCTAGAAGGCAAAGGAGTTCAGGGTTTAACACTGCCTCCATCACATGTCAACTGGGAAAACCTCTATCCTGTCAAGACTACTGCCTCACCTTGAGGAGTTCAAGAAAGCAATGAGGAAGCTTCTGGGGGATCGGTGGGATATTGCCTTTGCGGATGTGGTGCCACATGGCTCCGTTGTGAGGCAGTGGTGCTGTGCCGGCCGCTAGAGCTACTGTGAGTGCCAGGGCAAAGATGTCTGCCTTTGGCAAATAGCAGTACTGCTGCAGAGAGAAGATAAACAGTTATAGAACGGGAACATCTTGCTATACAGAGCAAAGGTGCATTGGCATACCAGCTCAAAAAGAAACAGCCAAACAAGTATATGTATGACACTGCCTTCACCATCCCAGTTAGCTGTTTTCTCCTCTTTAGGATAGAAACATTGATAGCAAGTAATATTGGTAGCTAATAGCACATTAGCTTTCACCCAGTCATGAGGAGCTTGCAGCCCACATTAGAATCACCACAGGAAATTCAGAGGACGGCCTAACAGATGTGTGCCTCCAGCCTTTACCACAAGGCAATAAGCTAGCCATGCCCAACTAAAACTAAAGCCTGCATGTGATACCTTGATCTAACAGTTCCTAAATCCACTTGCAGCCCAAAAAAGATACTGTCACTTAAATACCCGAGTTGATGAACATATCCAAGCTGGTTGTTACATACTGATTCCCTCTTTGTTCACTGGCGAGAGTGGCAAAACTGCAGCCAGTTTAAGAGGTGCGTTGTACCTCCTCCACCTCTCCACACTACTTGATCAGTGGTTTTGTACCAGGCATTTGTCTGGGTGCATTATTCCTCAGTAGCCACATCCAGCAGTTTAATCTCAGCTGGGTGTGTAACATGAAATGTCTCCAAACTGATAAAGGTTTTGTCCCATTCATCCCTCGCAGGCAGAATAGTTGCAATAATCTAAAGTTACCTATGAAGTACATTAACTATGTACATGACCCACGCCTATACTATTCTTAGTTAAGTGTTAATTTTGGTGATTCCACAGCCAGACCCGACACAAGGAAAAGGAGATAAGGCAAGGAATATGCCAGACTAATGATTGCACTGCAGTGGATCTCCCCACTTGCTCACCACCCTGTTGTCCCCACCACCCCGCTAGCAGCTGTACCTCTTGCAAAATCTCATTGGCCAAAAACCGTCTGTCTCCTTCCTCCACCTGGGGGTTTGTTACTGATGTCACATGGCCAAGGTCACCTGAGACAAAGAACAAGCAACTAATGGAGCAAACTGATGTAGATCTCCTCCATCAATAAAAGCCTGCATTTTGTAGGCACCAATGGAGCAATCAGGAAATACTGATTAAGAGGCCAAGCCTGTTCCCTACTCAGGAATCTGGGCTTGGAAACAAGCACATGAGTTTTCTAGGACTTGCCTCCTTAAAGAAATTAATTCTGGTAAGTAGCAGAGGCATTTGCGAATTCTGGTAATAGCAGAGGCATTCGCGACTATGCTAACCATTTTGTATGCAAGTCTCTTCAGCCAGCAGGACAGAACAATATCAAGAAGTAATGAGCAGCCCTAATCTTAAGCCAGTTGTAAAGTGGGCTAAAACCTACCAATCTTATATATCACACCAGAAGAGAATTCATCTTCACTGTCACTCTCGTCCTGCCCAGCAGGGCTCGCAACTTCCAGCTTGTGACAGATGAAGATATTGCCTGCAAGACAGTGAAGTTTAGCAATAGTGTGGTATCAGTAGCCAGACTGCAGCAGCCTGACAACTTTGTAAAAATCCCACTTGTCAAGTTAGTTAAGCTTTGCAGCCAGAGAAATTACGCACATGCTTCCCACCTGTTAAGTCTGCTTTCTGCCCTAGCTTACATATTCAGCAATACAGCTGACAGAAGGCAGTTGTATCTTGTGCATAAAATATCCTGGTGTAATCAACTTTTCTGCCCCTCCCGCAGGAAAAAAGGAGCTCAACTCTATGGATGTAACTCTGTGACTGTGGGGGGGAGCATTGCCCTGGAGGTGCCCATCCTCAGCTGCAGAGAGAAAAGATTGTTACTATTTCTGGCAGGAATTCGATCCCTCAGGGTCGGTACAATAAATATTCACATCTCACTCCAGCTCTCACGTACAAAGGTCAAGTGTTGTGCAACAAGACGGCAGCAAATCAGGAAGTCCCCATCTTCATTAGTAGCCTTACTTGCTCCACCAGTAGGAAAGTGATTCCCATGAGCCAGGATTATAAAGAGCATGGGACATAAGTAAAATGCTGCCAACTATCAGAGAAGCCTCAGTTTTAGAGCAGCAGTAGTGGCAAGATTAAAAAAATCAACAAGAGAGTCACCTTTTAGGGCAAGATCCTCTTTCCTTTCAAGCACTGTAATAGGTCCAGTCAGAAGCACCAGTTACAGATCCTACCCCTGGAGGGTCACTTGGAGGACCCTCCGCAAAGGAGGAGAGCGCTATACTTACTAGGTTTGATATCCAGGTGCACAAGGCCAGAGTTATGGATGTATTTTAGCCCCATGGAGACTTGTAACAATATTTCTTTCAGCTCTGCTTCTGGGAAATACTGGCCAAGCTTCGCATTTTCCAGCAGCACATCTTGGAGACTCCCGCCTAGGTGAAAACAGTCAGCCTGAGACCTGACAAAGATTTTATGGAGCAGCATGTTTGAAATAGCTTAGTAGAAACTATTGCCCAGAGCACTTGCAGGCTTGCTAGTGACAACCCCGACCAGACCAGCTCTATACGCTCTAGTGATCAAACTTGGACATCACCATTTGGCTTCAGCCTTTCCATTGCCTCAGAGCACCCTGCCTCCTGCTTGCCAAGGACTGAGCAACACTTCTACCTACAGCACCAGAAGGGCTGACCTGGTAATGATGCTGATGCTGCTCCAAGCGAACAGTGGAAAAGTTAATTACTTTTGCCATGCTTACAGGCAGAAAGCAGGTATATGAATGGTGGAGCAAGGACATTAAGCTCCCACTAGCAGATTTTTGATTGAAGAATGTAACATTTGACACAAGCAGAGTTTTGTGGGTCTCCATTAAGGCACTCTGGCTGTTTCAGGACTAGCAAATACTGTGGTCTCTCTCCCCATCAGCCTGCTTTTCACCACTTCTCCTTTAGTCTCAGATGTTCATCCACTAGAACACAAGAAATGCATCAATGCTGCAGCAACAATCACCATGTTTCACGGCTACCTTCACCAGATTTGAAGTCATTACTCCAAACAGCTATCACCACTCATCACTGAGCCCCAAGACTGCAGGAGCAGTTGAAAGGAGAGCTACATATTTGCCTTCAGCTCCTCTGGTAGCCAGAGGTGTCTTTTCCAATGTCTCCCAAACAGTGGTATGGCCAAGGGCAAACCTAAGTAAGAGTGTACCACCCTGCCTACAGCACCCCATTTACAGTTTACCTCATTATTTAGCTCTGTTCCTCTGCAGCTGTTGAGCCCTTTCTTCTAGCCAAGGTGCCTTCATCTCAACCAGGTAGCCACTCTTCAAATCATTACTCCCTTCATGAGGAAGGATTTGTTTCCAAGATACATGGCACTCAAGTTAGCTGCTCTTGAGTCACTCATATCAGGTTTTACCTGGGCAGTCCCAGATGCAGCTCTAAGCATTGCCATGGGGAATACTTTCTCTGTGTTGGCTAGCCTGGGAAACTGTTTAAAAATCCCACAAATTAGAGGGTATTCACTACTTGTAAGACATTGGCACCAGAGCTTTGCCTAAGTATTATGAGCCCTTACTGGATTCTCCACGGAACTGTAGCCCCAGTGCAGTTTGCTTTGTTGTAAGCCAAAACGTCCCGTACTTAAAGATTCTTACCAAAAGAAGGTAACTGCACCCATCCTGAGATCTCAGCCTTTAGCAATGTCACAGCTCTTACCATTGCAGTGTTCATTTTGGATAATCATGTGATCGTCCTCTGCCCACGCCGAGTAGTAGCGCACAACATGGGGGTGGTGTCCAAGGACAGCGTGAGCATAAACCTCGCGCAGTGCCAGCTGCCTAGAGAAGCACACACAGAAACAGCAGTGGTGACAGGGTGCCAGGGTCCTGCTTGGGACCATGAGAGGAGCCCTGGTTTTCAGCCTGGCTTGAGAAAGGGGAAGCAGAGGTGTTTAGGACTTTCTCTTGGCTATTGGCAGGTAGACTGGCTCTCACAGCTGCTGAAGCAAAACCTGCCCCTGCTCAAAAGCACTGAGCAGCTGTCAGAAAAAAAAAAAAAAAAAATCACTGAGCAAGTCTTGTGTTGAAGAGGCAAAGGCAGCTTCAAAGACTTTGCTTTAGCATGCAGGACAACACCATATGGTCAATACAGATGTGAGCAGATCTGGCCATACAGCAGGGCAGGGACATACCACAAATGAACTATTTGACAGTTGTTATTTTAAAGAGACTCTCTGCACAGACCCGAGTTGTTCAGGTAAGCTGTCATCTCACTTTACAATGCGTGTGGCTTCTTACCTTTCTCAGACATTTATACCCAATAGTCCTAAAGTGGTAACTTCCCCCACTCTCCCAACTGTTACTTGGGAGTGCAACAGCAGCCAGTTTTTCTCATGCCACCCCTCAGATACCTTTACATCCACACTCCCTCCTTCCCCATCACACCTCCCAAGAGCATGCCCATCATTTCAACTGGCAGTTTCTATCTAGCACACTCACTCATCCGAGGATCCTGCCAGAGGCCTTTTGGAGCGTTTGATGGCATAAACACATCCATCAAGGCGTTTGATGCACTTGTAGACAGAGCCAAATTCCCCCACACCAATTTTTTCTAGTTCCAGGAACTCCTTCTTGTAGCGGGAAACCATATTGCTCTCTTTCAGAGGATATCTCTGCAAGGTCACAAAAATGGCAAAGACAAGTATGAATTCAAAGACTTAGATAATGACATCTGTCATGCTTTTAGAGCTGTGCGGCACTTGCTCTCAGAGAGCACCCATGTTGCTCCCTCTCCCATTCTGGATGTTCATCCAGGCATGTGTGCAAGCGCACTGCCAGTTCTTCTTGAAATGCTACCTTTCCCTTAGGCATGTTGTGGTTTTTTTTCTGACCACCTAACAAAGGCCATCTTGGCCTGGTTTGGCCAAGGTTTTTTTTTTTCTTGTTATTGTGTTTTTTTAAATCACGACTTGCTAGCCATAGAGGTAGAAAATGCAGCCAAGGAGAATTGTAGTCTAGTTGGCTGTATGTGCCTAAATCTTTTTGGGTTACTACCATCACATCTCTCCTCTTGGTAGCCCTACCCAGTTCCTAGACCCATGGTTGATGGAGTCAGTCAGGAATGAACAGGAGGCAACAAGAAAATACTTGTCTTTTGCCCAGCTACTGCAGTCTCGATAAGGCTGTTGCCAGCCTTGGTAGGTGGAAGTCCAGTACCTCTGAATTAGCCAGACTCATTACTGAACTTGTGTTTAAGTAAGAGTTATTGCCTATTTTGAGCTCAGGAGAGAAGCTTGGTGCGTTGGCTTAATATGGCCCCAGCTATGCAAGAGCTGCTTTACTCTGGCAGCTAAGGTTGCCTGCAGCAAGGACGTTCTGAATCTGTTCAGGCTGTCATCAGGTTTGAAGCACCAGCTGTTGACTAATGGCAGATTAGCAGGTCTCAGTGTATATCTGTTTGTATTCCCAATGATTTCTCACCAGGAGCCACTTTTCCACAAAGGCCTGAAAGCCTGCAGAACAGCTGGAACATCATTATTGCTACAGTAATGGTCACTAGGGGAATAGGAGCTGCTGGTACTGCTGGTAGAGTGATGTCTACTGGCAGGGGAGATAAGAAAAGAAGACATAAGCAGTGGAGCATGAAGTGAACAACAAGGGAGTGGACTAAGTGATTTTTCTTCATCCTCCTGCATCCCTTATGGGGCCAGTGGCTCATGTTGCACAGTGGTTTCCACAGAAACCACTGCCGTGATTGCTGTAGTATACGGCATATGACCTTACAGGGTGAGGGTAAAGAGTTGGTCCTCACAGCCAGTAAGATGTGGCCCATATGAAACAGCAGCCCTTCACAACAGATTGTATTTCATAAGGCATCTACAGTTTACAGTATCTTAAAAAGCTCAGGGAATAAAGATACCTCCTAGTACACAATTTTATATCTATATTACATACTCAATCTAACCAGCACTCGAGCAGAATAATATTTCCAGTAAGTTACAAGTTCTTTGAGGCTTTCTTCTAAGGAAAGCAATAATTGTGGTAACCCCGGTTGTTACCTGGTAGAAGATTTACTCTGCAGCTGTAGTTTTTCTGCAATACCAGTCTCCTCGGCTAGAGGGTACCATTGTTCTTCCAGTAAGCCTAATTATTTCACAATCACAATGAACAATTCTATCTACTTGCAGACGGCAAGATATTTCCTTCGAGGGGCTGCTAAGGAAAACTGAGATTTTTACCCGACCTAAACACAAGTATTCAATTCAGGCTTGGCTTGCTTTCCACGAGCCAGCTGGATGAGTAGCTTCCCCCCAGATAACACTAGGAAGAAGGAAAGCAGCTGCAGAACACACGTTCCCACAGCAGCTGCCCAGTTCTGCCAGTGCAGCTGGGGGTACGAGACCTCGCACCCTGCCCCGTGCAGCCAGGCCAACACACCCCGCCGCTGAGGTTTGCCAGCGAAGCGCAGACATTGGCAACAGCAAGAGAACTTGAGTTTGAGTTGTAAGACAGTGTTTGCTGTCCTGTAGCTACATACGCTGCAGTGGGCCTTCCCTTGGACCCCAAGGCACACAGACACCCCCCAGCTGGACATGTTCGTACTGAAGGAGGGTACAGAATTTGCTGCCTTGCTTCAGAAGTTTGCCATTGTGACTACCACAACTGAAACTCTACCCTCAGTACTTATCCACATCAGAGCCGTTCAGCTCAGTCTTTGTGTTTTTGCAGTGCAGATCCATATGTTATTTACAATATAGAAGCCATGTTCCATTCACATTTAAAGATGCTCAGTACACCAATTCATAGGAACAGCAATACACCTGCTTTTTCAAGCCGCAAAGGTACAGTCACTATTTACGCTAACTCAATAATATTGTAACACAGTTCCCCCTGAGGAACCCAAATTATATTGTATTTCCTAGAAAGACCTTCTGACCAAAAATCAATGAGTTTTAGGATTACTTGTCAAAGTTTCAGATCTGCTGTAGTACAAGTTTCCTTTAGAGATAGGAATCATTTCCGAGTTTGTTGTCTCAAACAAATGCTAACATAAAACATTCAGCTTGGAATTATTCTGTCATAGGTACTCATCCTCTGGCATGACACCATGATTTATACTCCAATAGCAGAATAAATTTCATCAAGCACCAAATCTTTACAAGCATCCTATTGGCTCTGTGGGAGGAAGTACACAGACACTTACCTTTGTAGGCAGCTCCTGTTTTATCTGGCTTCTTGAATCAGGACCCCTCCTACAACAGAAGTTTAGGAAAGTCTGGATGTATCATTTCAGTGCAGCAATCCAAATGAGATTTGAAATGAAAACATTTTTTCAAAAGAATCTCCAAACCTTGCTTCACAGTTTAATTAAAAACATTTTATAGAGTGTTAATATACAATGAGTTTCTAGTTCAGGCCTTAAAGGCTGTAGACCCAGGCTAGGAAGTCTTTATTTCCATTTAGAAAGCCTCCACATACCAACTTCAGTACCGGCCACAGGACAGAGTAGCATCATTCAGGGGCATCATTCTCCTGGCCACCTTATTACTGGTGAAGCTACATGGGAGACGACCTTGCACAACAAGCTCCCAGTGAAGGAAAGAACTGCCCCACTGTGCTCTCAAGGGGGATACCCAGCTGAGCATCTGCTACAGTTGGAGCTATGAAAGAAGCTGAACGTCATTGTAGCGCACAGGTATTTGACTAAGTTTGTGTCTTGGTTAACCCAGACCAGACACAGAACTTTTGCAGGTCAGCAGTAGCCTGCACCCATCTTAAAAGCTGTATTACATGCAAACATGCATGTCGTTTCTTCCAAGTTGTGGGTATGTGCATAACTGAATCAAGCTCCACTCTACCCATGGTCAAGAAAGAGGTACGGTTTTCTCCTACAGCCGTAGCCTTGAGGTTAGCTGTTGATCTCTCACTTACATTTCTGAACAAAAGAAATGATTGATTGTATTTGCATTACTTTCATATGTCTGCTAATGTTTGCTCTGCGCCAATGAATACTACGGAAGTGAATGATTCATTGTTAGCAAATAAATCCAGGTACTAAACATCTCCACCATTACTTATCTCCTTCAAATGGTCTCCTTCCAGCCTGTTATTTAAGAGCAGTTCACTTACAGCTCTCCTCTGGTCTTCCGCTTGCCATTAGGAAGAAAGAGCATTTGTCGATATGACTCTGGTGTAAAGGGATTAATGTTGACAAGAGAAGCTTGGGTAGAGTCATCCAAGTCAGCACCAGGAGTAAACCTCAGATGTCGGAAGCCTTTGGGTGGCACCTTTGCCCCAGATGAAGGAAAAGCTGTCTTTGATAACAGGCTCTGTATTGAGGGAAAAAAAGTGGCAGATAAGCCAGCAAAATGTTTATGTTGCTGCTATCTCAGAATAAAATCTCTGCTCTCCTGCAAATCAAGGAGAACTCCGCTCCCTTCCTCAGAATACCCAGATCATTAAAACCCTGCATTCCTAATTTAGTCCTGACAGTTTTCTTTTCCTTCCACAAAGTGTTACGTTCTTTGCTAAGCCCTTTCAGACTCTATTCCCTGCTCACTTGGGTGAGGCCTGCAGAGCCATTTTGGCAAGCACAGTCCTCAAGAGGAGCCAGCCGCTCATCTTTCACACCGACAGAGACACCGAAATTGCATCATATGTTGCATTAACATGGAAGACCCAGGTCTGCCAAGCATGGACTGTTGCATCAGTTTGGTCAGGACAGGTTTGTCAGGAGATGAGATAGAACATCACCCAAGTTTCCTTTTGGTTCCCCAGCAACAAGCAGCATTAGCATAGGGGAAGTTGGTAGAAATATTTTTATATGGCTACTGGCAAAGTGATCAGAAAACAGTTCTCCTTGAGAAGAAAAAACAGTTTCAGAAACCTAAGTTCAGAAAGAACCTCTTCTATAGTTCAGCTTCCCACAGAAGACAGGCCATTGGGTTTCACCTACTAGTCCAAAACCTTGGGCTGAGTAAAGCATAACTTCAGAGAAGCACCCAGTCTTGATCTGAAGACAGAAAAAAAAAAAAAAAAAAAAAAAAAAAAAAAAAAAAAAAAAAAAAAAATCTTACTTTCCATGATTTGACCCCTTTGGTAACCATCAGCTTTTTGAAATATGTTTGGTTTTGGCTTGTTTCGGCTTCAAGAGAGTGATGTAAGGTCTAAAGGGATTTTTAACATATTTCTTTCTTCTAGTTAAAAGCCCTTCAAGAACCCAGAACTCTCCCTGTCATGAAGATCAAGATACTTCTATATCTTTTTGATCCAACAGTGGTCTCGCTCTTGTGAGTGGGGATGTAGCTCCAGGATCATATCTAGAGTTCCTCCCTTCTCTCATTGAAAGTTTCTGAAGATAGAAAAACCTAGAGCTGCATGCAGTATCCTGCATTTACCTAATTGATGCGGCAGTCATGGGTATAGCTACTTCTGGGACATCCCTTTCTTTCTATACCATACTTGGAAGTTCAGCTACTGGTTTACTATGACCCTGAAAGTGCTTCTTGATCACTTTCTCAAGCTCTGGTCTGCATCTCCTTGCTCCTGGATGGAAAAGTTCTGCATATGGATGTATTAAAATCAGTATATGTCCAAGCCCAATTTACTCAGCAGCCTAGGAGCTCTGTAGAATTGTGGCTATGTGCTAGTCTAGCCTCAAGTCAAGAAAGGGATCTAAAATACCATTGCAGCCTGCTGTTGTATGCATGCAATTCCCATCTGCTCTACTAGGGCTCTATTTTGTAATCAGGCAGACTTGTCTCCTGTAACATCATCTGAGAGTAGCTGCTGCCATACAGTGTAAGGCAGCTACCATAACTAGCTCTAGCAATCTGTTCCAGGATTGGGTAAGTCTACAAAATACAATCATCTGACTCCTCTGCCATGCATCCTAGCTGAGGCTCCAGTGCTCATCTGTCTGCAATTAGATGTGGCTCTGCTGCCTTACCCTTTCTCTCACCTTGAAATGTTCCAAGATCAATGCTCCCAGCCTCGTTTGTAAGCAGATTTAGGCCCTTTGGAGCCCACCTTTTGCAGCATGCTTGGAAACCAAGACCTTTCTCCCAGAAGATAGCAAAGGAAAATAAATTGTTGATTTAGTTCAATTGCTGCTCATGGGCTACAAGGTGACAAACCATGGGCAGCATGCCTTGAAGCATCCAGCCAACACAAGAGCACACATTGAAAGCACCCAGCACTACCAGTAGCCCATCTGGTCTGGAAGAGATTCTAGACCTCTTGCCTGTTTTCAGATGAGATTCAGGGAGATTTCCTATAAAAGGTCATTGCAGGAAATTCTTGGAGCGATGCCATTTAGAGCCTCTTTCCCCTAGAGAGCAGCAGGCCATTCCTCAGTAAATATGGCCACACAGCTGGATCATCCACAGGATCATCCTTCTCTCCACATAATCAAGTTTCTGGAGGGGAACAGAAGTCAAATCCTAGCTCAGAAGTACTAAAAGGACTGATCTTCTGTGTATTGCTTAAGCAAAGGAGCAGCCAGTCTATCAGTAGAGCAGGAATATTGAGAGAGGACGGAAAGAGCTACATTTCATTGCAAGTTTTGAATGCTAGAAGTCAGTGCACACAACAGAAGTTATCTAGGAACAGAGAAGCTGACGTCAAGTCTCCACTTGTGCTTACAGAAGACAAAAAGCAGTTGTATTACATTCTATACGATAAGTTTCACAGCAAATAGGGGCTGGGATTATTCCCCCAAGAAACTAGCTCAGCAGATAAGTTACCTTTTAGGACAGTGACATAGAGGAAGACAGGCTAACCTTACTCCACAAGCACACATTGATTTGTTAACCTTCCACAGGGTATTTGCTACCCTGAGAACAAGGACCTGCTTTCCCCAAATTCACTGAACAGCTCAGTTTCACACAAGAAAATAATCAGCATCACTGGACAACAAGCTGGTTGGAGGCAATCCCAGCTTGCCAGACAAAGTACACCCCAGCCACAACATCATTTCCAACTTTCTCTTTCAAGAGAAGACCCACTTGCATCCAAAAATGTGTTGAACAGAGAAGTCAGGGCAGCTGCCTGTCATTCCCCTGGAATGACAAGCTGCTTGAAGAGAGATGCATTTATCCCTCTGGGAGCACAGTGCACACTTCCTACAGAGATGCTACCCTAAGCAGAGTGTGAGGGGCACATGGGCAGCCAAGGCACATGGTTGCTTGTTTTTTTAAGTCAGGCTGGCCCAACATCAACTAATTGATTTTAACAACAGCTTGGAAAGAGTCAAGACATCTGCTCCCACACACAGGTTTCTATTCACACCCACAGAATAACCCTCCCATAGCTAAGGAGCTCATGGTCCAGGTTTGTAAGGGAAGAGTAGATCCTAACAACAGCAACATCCAAAAAATTCTTTCCACAGAGCTAACAACAAATCCCCTCGCCACCCACGCAGTGATGCCCCAGCGACACCGCAGACCTTGCCTGCTCAGACAGAGTTGATACATGCCATTACCTTGGGAGTGTGTGGGGTGTCACACAGCTGCAGCTTTTTCCAGGTGATGTGCAGTGGTGTCTCAGCATTACCCCGGCTCTTGCTCACAGCTGGGGAAGGCTTCAGGGTGGGGCTCACCCAGGCTTTCGTCCTGCTCAGGAAAATATCACTAAGCTTTCTCTGAGGGGTTGCTGGCAGAGGACTGCTCCCTTGCCACTTCTGGAACTCGCAACTCCTGGGAGGGCTCGAGCTCAGGGCATCCTCCTCGTGTATGCTTCTGTCTTCACTCTCTTCACCACAACTGGAAAAATCCAGTCGCTGAACGAGTTCATCACTGTTGTCCCAGTCATCCATGTCACCATATGAAACAGAACAGGTAGAGCTGATACTGGCCTGGTTTGTTAGAGGGAGAAGGGCAGAGGAAGATAGCATTATTTACACAGGCAGACGAACCACCCTCTTCCTTGTCTTATTAAAGGCATTAGTTGTACTCACCACATGCACTCCCCCACCCCAATCCCACATACACAGAAGCCTGGATCACTCATAGATGTCACTTGATGGCATTGGTTAAGGACAAGTACCCCAGAATTAGCAAATACAAATCCATTCAGTTACTACTTATGTAACAACAACAGATTCTGCTTTTCATCTTGTTGGTGCAAGTCAGATACAACTCAGAAGTCACTGTCTTTCCCAGTAAGCCTCCAAGGCAACTTCTCCACCCATTAGTGCTTCATCCACTGCTCTCATCACACATAGAAACAGAGCTATCAAATCCTAAAGAACAACACACACCAGCCCTCCTCTCATCCTTTTCTACCTTAAATTTCTCAACCAGAGAAAAAGAACCCATGCTACATACAGCTGCAAAAGCAGAGGACACCCCAAACAGTTACCAGATACCCCACAGGCAGCTCCTCTGCCCTGGCACATTTATAACCACCACACGCACCTGGGCCATTGCTAATGGGAAACATTTGGAGCTCGGCAGCACCTGTGCACAGTTGCCTGTGCCTAGGAAAGTTGGTGGCTGAGGGCTTTTGCTGTGGATGTGGATTTGCTGTGCCTGCAACCAGCTCTGCAGGGAGCCAGGGCTCCCTCTGAGTCATCGCCTTGTTTTTTTCCCACCTCCAGCTTCCCAGGGCCTACAGGGAGGTGATGTTTGCTGGCAGCCAGTCTGCTTCATGTTAATCCCATCAGAGATGCAGTCTTTGTGAGCTTTACTTGTATAAGTGATTAATCTTGTGGTGATGGGGCCCTGTGCTTCCTTCTTGTAAGTCTGAATTTGGCTTCCTGCATTTAGATGCATATTAGTTTGGACAAGCGTTGCAGCCTGCGAGGAGAGATTAGTAGCCTAATTTATAATGTGCTAGAGTTCAGGAGAGAGTTAGGGACCATACACAAGTCTTTGTATGGGCTCCCATCTTGAGGTTGCAAGCGCATGCCCCAGGAGAGTGTCACGAATGGGAGAGGGGTGATTTATTTAAGGAATCACCGACAGAGGTATTAGCAAAAGTGGTTTTAATACGATGTTGTGAAAGTGCACCTTAACAAAGTTTGATGGCAAGGTTCATTCTATTAATTACTACATGGAAAAATCATACAAAGGGAAACTGAGTTACACTCGAGTTAGAATGATTTACGGAGAGACTGAAGATGCAGAGGGTAAGGAGGACCCTCCCGTTGAGTCACGAGTTTCAGAAAGGACCCCCTTGCTTTCTAAACTTCTTCCTCAGAGAGGAGGCTAGGTGCAGCTAGATCCAGTCCTCGTCTTAGACTTGGTCAATGGTTTATGTCTAAAGGATTATATATGCAAAGCTTATATAATGTTTCATTAGCATCAATTCAGCATGCAATCGAAATTACCAAGACAAAAGGTTATGCACAATATCGGTTGCTTACCAAAGATCTGTCGTCAGAAAAAGGTCTCTCTGCCTTGAGAAGCAGCCTTGAGAGGTGTCCTGGGGAGCGGGGGAGATCACCGCCATGCAGCCACGCTGCCTGGCAGGGACAGCTCCAAAAAAATGCTCTTAGGCTGTCATATTTATAGGATAAAGTGTTTGACTTGTAGTCAAAATACGAGAGATAGAAAAGGTATGCAGGAGACTCCTTGTACTCACAGCTTGCTTTGTTCCTTGATAAACGAGTCGCTCTGCTCCTTTGTGGGTTTTCAGAGAACAGATTGAAACTAGAGGAATTCACCGCCCATCTACAGCTCAGGCCTTTGCCTCTTCTGGAACCTGCACCAAGCCACTGCCAGTCTGGTCAAGGGGTCGAGCGCATCCATCACAGAAAGGAGGGAGAAGCTGGCTGCGTTGGTGAAGGCAGCCCCGCAGGCAGGGTGGCTCTGCCGCTCACCGGGAGCAGGTCAATGTGTCCTCTCCCTGTGCCTCTCTGTAAAACACAGGGATCTTCCTGTGCCTTTGTGAGCCTGCTTTTCGAAGAGGGACCAGAGTGAGTTTTAACTAACTGGGAATGAGGTTGTGGCAGCCTTTTTTCTCAGCATCGAGGAGAGCTGCTAGAAGGACATGCAGAAATTGGAAGTGGCCACAGCTTGGAGGAGATGGGGGTCTGTGAGAACAGACATGTGCTTCCCTGTGCGCACGTCGAGGGGAATTCCTACCAGAAAATAAAGGGATGTGTTGATTTGAGGTCACTCAGCCCTCCTAACCTGGTCTTTGAATGAAAAGCATGGCCATACGGGCCTCTGAAGTTGCCTGTTAAGACTGTGACTAGCAATTCATTCGATACAGGCCACCAAAGCTGTATTAGGAGGAGGACGTGCCAGGAACTCAGTATGGGTTTTACTGCTGCAGCTGGCCCAGAGGTTGTAGCGTTTCTTCCAGGCACAGAGCCTGTTGCTGCCGTGCAGACTCCCTTCTCCTGCCTCTGCCTGCGCCTTACCTTGAGCGAGGTCCAAAAGCCTGGGAGTGCTGGTGCTGGCTGCTTTTTGCTATGAAAAGCTGTCTCTGCAGCATCTGGCCCGTTGAGATCCTATGACAGGACCACTTTAGTACTGCTGTGATCTGACTGCATTAATCAGATGTTGGGTATTTGGAGCCTTGGACAGTAGCATTTTATTTTAAATCTGAAGAAATAATGCTTTTAGTCCCTATAACTGCATTCCAGTTAATAACCCAGCAATGAAACTCCTTCAGACCTCACTTTTCAGTCACCTCTGAAACATTTTTTTTAATTTTAGTTGTTGTTGTTCTCAGGGTCTGTAGGCAGTAGCCGTTTTTCTAAGGAGGGATATGTAAAGGAGAAAAGTTGGACTTGCTGTGTAAAGAAGGCCCGACTTGTTCATCTTGCGTCTTCTAACTAAATGCCACCACCTTTTCACTTCATATTTTTTCTGGAGGACCACTCAAAGATCTGATAATAACTTTCTTAGCCCCGAGTTGGAGGGAAATTGTGTTAATTTTCCTTTGAAGGAGAGCTTTTTCTCCTGAAAGGGTCATATTGCCTCCTGGCCTTGGTCTTTTCGGTTTTGGTGAAATAAAGTAGAAAATGTGGCCTTTGGTTTTTGCACATATTTAATAAACGGTGTGCCCTCAGCAGGCCCAGATTGCTGGCCATAGTGGTTTTAAATAGCTTTGGTACCACCAGGTCTCTCGTCCCACGAGGGCTTTTTCACCAAAAGCTGAGAGCTTGGAGGGTGATGACATCTCCTCTGTGTCAGAGCCAGCGCTGGCAGCCTCTGCTCCCCATCACTGGCTGCTCTCCCCGCTGCGTCCCCTCCCTCGTGCTGGGGCGACGCTGGGGCGACCGCACAGCAGAAGGGACCAGGAACGCCTCCGCACCCCAAATAGCCCAGGTGGGTCGCAGAGGAATTTTTATTTGGGATTCGTTTCCCCTGCCTGGATTGCTGGGGGACAGACTGACATTCGTGCCAGCACCACCGCGGGGATGAAGGAGAGGAGAGAAACGAGCTGTCACTTTAGCATCACTGACATGCAAAAAAATGTTCATCAAAATGAAGCTTGGCACTGTCTATATGGTTAAAGCGAAGCATGTGGCCAAGTATTTGCAGAATCTGGCTTTTCTTTATACAGTAACAAAATATTGTGCAGGGTTTGTTTTTTTTTTCTTTACCAGTCACCTTCCACGAAAAACTCCATCTGCTAAACACCACCTGCTGCAGTTTCTAGCTCTGCAAAGTAAACTTGTGCATGGGCTTTGTGAAACAAAATGCCTACTCGATGTTGGAGCTGTCTGAAATTAAGCTCACAGCAAATGGACGCTAATGTTACAAAAAAAAAAAAAAAGAGAAAAAACCCAAAACCCACTCTTGAGGAAACTGGATGATGAGTTTCTTAATGGCTATTGAACACTCAGAGCTGCTCAACGGGAAAAAAGTTAGACAATGAAGGCTTTTATGACAATATCTTCCCTTTAATTGTGGCCTGCTTAATTGGGTAATCCAATTAATCAGAAAGTCCTAGGGAACCACGTTAAACCTAATGACACTTAATGACATTGGTGGTAGCATAATGAGGATGGTAATTACACAAAAGTTGGCTGCCTGTAGATGCCTTGGTCACGCTTGTGTCTCCATCTTTCAACCTCAAGCTGATTCCGCCTGTTCCTCTGCAAACTGTTTCACATCCTTCTATGGCGCGCACACACACACACATGTATATATAGAGACACACAGCAGTATATGCTGGATGAGTATCACTGACTCTTTCAGCTTTGTGGCTTGCAGCTTCCACCGCAGCAGCCTGGGGGTGCGGGAGGCTGCCCCGTTGCTGGCCCTGAGGCTGCTCTGCTCAGCTCCCGTGGCTCACCCGGGCCGGCAGCGCTCCCCCTCAGCGCTCCTGCTCAGGCGGGCAGCTGGCCCACGCTGGGGTCGCGGGCTGGGGGGGCAGAAGGCAGGCAGCCGGCTCTGCCCTCCGGGAGGAGGCGAGGCACGGGGTGGCGGGGCGCCTTGCCTCAGGGAGCCCCCAGTCCTCCCGTGCTCCTCCAGGAGCTCGCACTGGAGGG